CACAGGAGTAGGAATAAGAACTGCAGAAGGCCCATACGAGGCAGTTCCTATTATAACCACCGAATGAGAAGGATATAGTAATAGGAATAAGAAGAGGATTGCAAGGGAACGTAAGAGAAAACAATGAACAGAAAAAAGAGAGAAGAGAGAAAGAAAAGGAAAGAGAAAGAAAGATAAATGGAAGGGTAAGCTTATGTTAGGTCACGTTTGTTAGAAAGATTACAGCATTTGAGTATGTACGGTGAAAGGGAAGAGTCAACAGCAACAAAGCCAGGACTCAAGTTCATGTTGGGTACATTGTGTATTAGAGCAGATTCAACAAGACGGCGTCTGTGTAGAGTAGAGGCAAGAAAGATTATTTTAGAGGAAGACCAATCAATAGGATGATTAGAATCCCTCACATGACAGAAGAGAGCATTGTTAGCGTCTGCAGACTTAACACTTCTCTTGTGTTCTTTAAGTCTGTCATTAAGTGTACGGGCAATTTCGCCAAAGTATTGGAGAGGACAAGACGAACAGGAAATAGAGTAGACACCAGCATCATTAGAAGCAGGAGGAGCAGTGTGAACTAGATTGCTACGAAGTACTCGCCTAATTGTGCTTGCGGGGGTTGAGCTTTGACTCTTTGGTCCCGCCTCTCAACTGTCAATCAACTGGTGTACAGATTCCTGAGCCTACTGGGCTCTATCATATCTACATTTGAAACTGTGTATGGAGTCAGCCGCCACCACATCACTTCCTAGTGCATTCCATTTATTACTGAAAAAATTCTTTCTAACGTCTCTGTGGCTCATCTGGGTACTAAGTTTCCACCTGTGTCCCCTTGTTCGTGTCCCTCCCGTGCTGAAGAGTTTGTCTTTGTCCATGCTGTCAATTCCCCTGAGAATTTTGTAGGTGGTTATCATGTCTCCCCTTACTCTTCTGTTTTCCAGGGATGTGAGGTTCAGCTCCTTTAGCCTTTCCTCGTAGCTCATTCCTCTCAGTTCCGGGACGATCCTGGTGGCATATCGCTGGATCTTCTCTAACTTTGTCTTTTGTTTAATTAGGTATGGACTCCAGGCTGGAGCTGCATACTTCAAGATTGGTCTTACATAAGTGGTATACAGGGTCCTGAACGATTCCTTACACAAGTTTCTAAAGGCAGTTCTTATGTTGGCCAGTCTAGCATATGCCGCTGATGATATTCTTTTAATGAGGGCCTCTGGGGACAGGTTCGGTATGATATCAACCCAGAGATCTTTCTCTCTAATTTGACTCTCGCAAGATTTCACCTCCCAAATGATACCTTGTGTTCAGCCTCCTGCTCCCTTCGCCTAATTTCATTACATTACACTTTCCTGAGTTGAACTTTAGCAGCAATTTTCTAGACCATTCCTCCAGTTTGTCCAGGTCATCCTGTAGTCTCTGTCTATCTTCATCCGTCTTGATTCTCCTCATAATTTTTGCATTATCAGCAAACATTGAGAGGAAGGAGTCTATGCCCTCTGGAAGATCGTTTACATATATTAGAAACAGGATGGGTCCAAGTACTGAGCCCTGTGGGACTCCACTGTGTGTTAGTTTGTCGAAAGGCGAGCTTTATGTCAAGAGGACGAAAGGTATTAGTAAAAGTTTTGAGTTCAGATATGAAGAGAATGCATAGTACAGTGCTACTAGTGTTGGTCAATCAGTCAACCGGATATTGTAGCACTTCCCAATGGTTTAGCATAGTCGTGGTAGTAAATAGCAACACTCTCCAGAATATAGGAAGTCTCTCAGAAAACGTGACTCGCGGAAGGGGGACCTGCTTCAAAATCAGTATGGCGTCTCCTTCCCCGCTCCAGGGACGAGTCCCCAGATGGGTTTTCATTGATTATCGGGAGGAGGGGTTTTATTAATTTAATTACTGACAATTTAGTTAATTTAGAGATTCACTTCTTTGTTACTCAGTCCTCAGATTAGTGTTCTCAAGAGTTAAATTAAGTAATATTTTGGGTTTGAGATAATAAGGCAACGTGGCAATAATTACTATAAATAAATAAATAAATGTTTATTTAGGTAAGGTACATGCATACAAGAGATTTTACAAAGATTGATCGATTTATAGATAGAGCTAGTACATACAATGCCTAAAGCCACTATTACGCAAAGCGTTTCGGGCATGAAAAACATTAATGACTAAAGCTTAATACTAATTGAGTATAAAGGATAAAATGTTTAATTACTTATGATTAAATTACATAAAATTAAAATGATAAAATTACTAGTTTTCTATAGCAAATGTCATGCACGCCGTGCCTTCAGGACTAATATAATTTGATTTGTGTTAATACAACAACAGTGATTTATTACTGCATATTGTATAAAGGAATATGTGCGATATGGGATGTTTTCCCACATCCTTCACTGTTCAAGTATCTTCATATATATATGTTACGGCCCCTACTGGGATGCAACCGGGTTCTTCTCTGGTGTTATTAGAGTTTGGGAATCCGGCCCCAAGTTAGTAGAGGCTTTCAAGGGATGTGTTCCGAAACGCAAGTTAAATTAAAGGGAGAGGGATACAAATGTTCTGATTTATATATATAATTTCACCACCACCAAAAATAAATATATAACAGTCACACGGGGGTTATAAATACACTATAATGTACAGAGTTGTCTTCCTCCGAATCACTGGATGCTCCACGGTGCACACTTTGGGTAGCCCTGGTTCTTTCCTCCGTGGCCCACGATGAATCCTCTATGATTCTCTTGGCGAATCTACCCTGGCCACAGGCCAGCCAAATCACAGTTCCACTGGTTGCTCCGTCGTGGAGGCCTTCAACCACAATCCAGCCTGTAGCTGGCAGGTTCCGATCAGCTCCGCTGTGTAGGCCACTCCACGACCGATATTAGGGTTGCGAGCCCTAGGCAGGAGCCTCGTGTGATCCCGCTGATCACTCTCCTCACTAAGCACCACAGTGGCTAGTCTCTTCCACCAGCCAGCCCCAGATACGACGATTCCTGATACTGCCACGTCACAGGCAGGCTAATACTCTCAACAGAGTTCGTCCAGGGGTGACTCACAGCTTCTTCAGAGCAAACTCGTGAAGAGACCTTGGCTGCCTTGGGTAGACTGATCCATCGTCCAATACAGCAGTCCCAGGTCAACAATGTAATCGGACACGTCATTAGTACTGGGACTAGGGAATCTCACTTACAGGTTTAGATACAAACGTCCACCTATCCACTCCATAGATGGCGTTGCTGTCTAAGCATCACCTCACCAGAGGTCAGCAGCGGCTATGTTACGAGCTGATTAAGACGGGAATCCAGCACCTGTGGCCGGTATATCCCGTCCTCACTAGATGGCGTTGTCCATTTAGAGGGGGTTTCGGGAGCGGACTCACAGATGGCGTTATCGTCACTGCTCCGTGCTACGACGCTGGACTCGGGTCCGTAACAATATATATACATATATATATATATATATATAGGGGTACCACCACTGGTTTAATTAAAGGGACCCACATCCTCGAAGAAGAAAATAAATAGTGTTCAGAGAAGACCTTGTGGATTCTCACTGAATACTTTAATCTTTTCCTCTCCTACCACCCCTATTTTTTTTTTTTTTTTTTTATTTGATTTTATTGCAATGTTACAGTTTACAGAAAACACACACTTATATAACAATATAACAATATACCAATCAGTGTTCGAAGACCTCGTCCAGTTCCTCGGGGGTCGGGTGCGTACCCAAGATACAACACGCATTTCCCCTCTGAACAGCGACACTGAGGCGCTGGAACATATATATATATATATATATATATATATATATATATATATATATATATATATATATATATATATATATATATATATATATATATATATATATATATATATATATATAAGTACTCTTGCCTTAATAATACTAATTTAATAATACATTGTATCAGGGGACAGGAAGCCAGAGTGTATTCATACACGTTAGGCTTTTATTGATCCCCCCCCCCCGAGGTCGAATTACTGACCCCGCCCGGGATGCAACCCCACAACAATCTGACTGACTCCAGACTACCTACTCACTGCTAGGTCAGCCTGAAGAAAACCAGTGGTAGAAATTGATATGGGTGTTTCATTGTTTCATTAGCAGTGACAAAGAGAATACTTAAACAAATATCTAATGAAAATCTCACCGACCTAACAAATTCTCAAAGACCTGAAAGTTGTAGCATTTAATATTATGATAGATATCGTGAGGAGACATTCACATATGGGACTAATAGAACAAGAACCCGGCAATGTGATGTTATAGTGGCCAGAATACGCCTGGGATATAGACGTATCTGGCAGCTTTCTCAAAACCCAAATGTCGAGTACACAATGTGTCAACTTTGTGAAAGAGAAAACATGCACTCTCTTGAACATTATATTGTAGAATGTCCCATACTGACTGACTTTCGCCCTCCTGGGCTGAGGTATGCTGAACTCTGTAGTTACTATATGAGTACTGGAACACTTGATGATATATTGGACTTGTATCCAAGATTGACCATGTAATATATCAATCATACAATGTATATATGTGATGTAACTATATAACCTGAGCTTGTAAAAGCACCTTCATCACCTTCAGTGATTAAGTGCTTAATTGCACACTAGTTTCTTTATCAGCTACCCTAGGTGAACAGAAACATTAGGTGAAAGGAAATGTGCCCAATCATTTCTGTTCCACCCGGGATTCGAACACGGAATTCTTGATTGTGCGTCGAGAACGAACCCGACTGTACTACCTGGATCCTCAAACATTTATTATTATTATTATTATTAATAGTTGGCCTAGAGGGACTTAAATACGTTTGCTATAAGTACATTTATTTTAAATATTATTGAGGCTTGGAAGCAACCACAGCTCGGCCTCACAGATGAGGTGTAAGGCAGTAGAACTTCTTAATGAACCAGAATTTGTCTAGCGTGATGTTTAATTCATAATAGCAAGTGTCCCCTGTTAATGGTATACTGTGTTGGTGCAGGAATTGTGATCGTGTGGCCACAGCTGACGCTGCACCAGGAGGAGCTGGGGCTCACTACCTACCACACCGGGATCTGCAGCTCCGTCATGTCCTTTCTCATTATATTAGTACCGCTTCTTGCTGGCTTAGCTGGGGACAAGCTCGGCAACTATAAGGTCGGTAAGCCTTTCATAAACTCGTAGCAAAAGCTGTCATACATTATCATGGAGTTTTAGAAGAAATCCATTTTATTATTCTCGCAGATACTGTTTAGTGTATTATATATTTTGGTGTTCTTGGTGTGTAAATTAGTACCCTCCTAACACAGCTGTAATACTGTGCTGTTCTATGTATGCCCACGAGCCATCAGTGTAGAAGCTTCATTGCCCAATTATCAAACAACATTAATTAACAAACTCCCAGCCAGTTAGTACTTTTCTAATAAAGTTCTTGTACTGCATTAAATTAAGACAATGAGAACACAAATAATAAACAATCACATTTAGCAATAACAAAATGATATAATAACAGTATGGTTTTCGATCTGGAAGATCCTATGTAACCAATTTACATAGCGTCAATGATAGAGCCACAGAGATTTTACAGGAAAGAGATACCTGGGTTGACTGCATTTATCTGCACCTTGTCTGCAGGGGCCTCGTAGCCTGGTGGATAGCGCGCAGGACTCGTAATTCTGTGGCGCGGGTTCGATTCCCGCACGAGGCAGAAACAAATGGGCAAAGTTTCTTTCACCCTGAATGCCCCTGTTACCTAGCAGTAAATAGGTACCTGGGAGTTAGTCAGCTGTCACGGGCTGCTTCCTGGGGGTGGAGGCCTGGTCGAGGACCGGGCCGCGGGGACACTAAAGCCCCGAAATCATCTCAAGATAACCCTCAAGATAACCTTAAAAAAAGGCTTTCGACAGAGTTCCACATAAGAGGTTGTTCTGGAAATTTTAACAAACTGGAGGAGTGACAGGGAGGCTTCTAACATGGATGAAAAATTGTCTGACAGAAAAATGAGGGCAGTAATTAGAGGCAATGTATCGGACTGGAGAAATGTCATAAGTGGAGTACCACAGGGTTCAGTTCTTGCACCGGGAATGTTCATTATCTACATAAATCACTTACCAGAAGGAATACAAAATTATATGAACAAGTTTGCTGATGATGCCAAGATACCAGAGAAGATAAGAAATCTAGATGATTGTGATGCCTTTCAAGAAGACCTGGACAAAATAAGTGTATGGAGCACTACTTGGGAAATAGAATTTATTGTGAATAAATGCCATGTTATGGAATGTGGAATAGGCGAAAATAGACGCCACACAACCTACAAATTATGTGAAAAGGCTTCACAAAATTCTAATAAAGAGATCTAGAGGTTCAAGATAGAAAACTATCACCTGAGGGCCACATAAAAATAATATTGTGCGAGGAGCCTATGCCACGCTTTCCAATTTCAGAATTGCTTTCAAATACATGGAAGGTGAAATTGTTCACGACTTTTGAGACCAAAGCTGAAATATGCAGCTATTGTATGGTGTCCAACTCCTAAGACGCCCCCTCAACAAACTGGAAAAGGTGCAAAGACATGCAGCCAAATGACTCCCGGAACTGAAAAACAAGAGCTATGAGGTGAGGTTAGAGGTATTAAATATGCCAAAATTAGAAGATAGAAGAAAAAAAGGCAATATGATCACTGCATACAATATAGTAACAGGAATTGACAAAATTGATGAGGAAGAATTCCTGAGACCTGGAACTTCAAGAACAAGAGGTCAGATCTTGTTAGCTTCAGATTTAAGGTAACTAAACAAAGCTGGCGAAGAAATATAAGAAAATTCACTTTTGCAAACAGTGTTGACGGTTGGAAGACGTTAAATGAGAAGGTGGTGGAGGCCAAAACCGTCATTAGTTTCACAGCGTTAGATGACAAGAGTACTGGGAAGACGGAACACCACCAGCATAGCTCTCATCCTGTAACTACACTTAGGTAATTGCACTTAGATAATTACTCTAAATAATAAGGTTAAAATTTCCACTAGTTGCCAACCACTAGCTAAAATTAAACACAGAAAAGACCTGCTACATTGAACAAAATACACCTTCAGGTAGATGATGCAAATCCGCTTGTAACAGTAGAACTGTAATATAGAAAGTTCATAGATTTAAACATTGGAAGTGGTAGTGACCTGACCTGGCTGATAGCCTAAGGCATTCCCAAGGGATTAGCGTAGAAAACGGTGGCGCCACTCTCCGCCCGTGACAAAACATCAAACTAGGAGTATTGTGAATGTATTTCATAATTTTGAGGAATTATTAGTCATGGTTAAGTACTTATGTTAAAAACTTATGTCAATTGAGAACAAGGAATAAGTCTTGGATGATATCAAGGAGACGGTTGACATCAGTAAGATTTGAAATATGTAAGACATGTGTCGTCACTGGAAAATAGATACCTACCAACCTGTGTTAAATCATGTCAAATTAGTGTAATACAAGTGCTACTGAATATTGTAATTAACCTGGCTCGAGTATTTAGATAATTCCCATTTGTTTTGGAAGTATAAGTCACCTTTAGTGACAGATACTAGATTTTAGTTAATAATCAGATTCAAAGATTAATGAATCTTTGCCCGAAACGCTTTGCGTAATAGTGGCTTTAGGCATTGTATGTACTAGCTCTATCTATAAAACCAACAAACTTTGTAAAATCTCTTTATGTATGTACCTTTACCTAAATAAAAATTATTATTATTATTATTATTATAATAATCTGGCAACGAGCCTCGGGTCAGCCACGGGGAGGTCAGACAGGCCTTGGTGGAACGAGGTCAATTCAGTGTAGACTGAACATCAAGCGGGAACAAGACCTCTCCCTAAAGCCGGCGGAACATCGGCCAGGCTGTGGTTTAAGGTAATTGTGTTATTATAGTGTAGGAATCCACATTCATTGTTATAGGGTTTACATTGCCTCCGTTCAGTAGGGCATTGATCAGGGTATTTTCTAAATATTATTTTAATACATAATTTTGATTTAATAAACGGTTATAGAATTTATGTCGTTTAGTGGAATTTTCCCTAAGGTTGTTTCGCATTACTTTTGAACACAAACCTCATGTCTACACCTAGTTTCCTCAGGCAAGTCAACAAGCATTTACTTAATTAAAAAGATAATCCCTTTTTATTTAATTTCCACATTAATGTAAAGCTTGGCCCTCCATTTCTTATAATTGGGGATAGAATTTCATGGTACGCTTAATTGATGGTATCCTGCTTTCCATCAATTGAGAGATTTACTCAGACTCCAGTCTGAGTAATCTCCAGACTCCAGACTTCCCCAGTCTCCGTGGTGTAGTGGTAAGACACTCGCCTGGCGTTCCGCGAGTGCTTTGTCATGGGTTCGTACCCTGGCCGGGGAGGATTTACTGGGCGCAAATCCTTAACTGTAGCCTCTGTTTAACGCAACAGTAAAATGTGTACTTGGTTGTAAAAACGATTCTTCGCGGCGGGAATCGTATTCCAGGGACCTGCCCGAAATGCTACGCGTACTAGTGGCTGTACAAGAATGTAACAACTCTTGTATATATCAAAAAAAAAAAAAACAGCAGGTGGTGGAGGCGAATATTCAGAGGTTACAGTTTAACCTAGAGGATAGTGTCTCTGAGTTCGTGATATCTAAATGGTCAAACGTTTGGATCTCGAGGGATTGTACTGAAGGTAACTCAGCAGAACTCTGGTTTCTCTATATATTTTCTTTAATTAATTCTTAAATAACGACCAGCATTTATCCAGTAGTGAGGTTAAAGGTTAGCCCCCGTTACAATGGTGCACAGCGGTGGTTTTACCAATTTTGTTGTTAGAAATTGTTGAAAGCTCATGCGTCTAGCCATTCGGTCACTTGTGTAGGTGTTAGGGAGGTCAGCCGTGGGCCCACGAACCAGGGTTAACTGTTCACCCCACAACACTGCGATTGAGTGGGGTTGGCGAATTTTGGGATCGTGAGGGGCTGATAGTATTAAGAATTGGGTGGTTGAGTTAGGCTGTTAAGGTCTTATTGGGTAAGGAGACCGCTTTGAATTGATTGAACTGGGTACCTTACTCGACCCATTGCAATTGGTTCGGAGGTGTTGGGAGCCTCCATACTCTCAACAGCAGTTCCTTGTGGGGTGTCTGGGCGGATTTATCTGTGGGACGCCAGGGGATTCATCCGAGGACGTTGTTAGATAACCCAAACCGCTAAGAAAAACGTTAAATTCATGAAGGTAGTTGAGGCTATTGAGGGATGGGCTAGTATACTAATTAGCACCGATTCAACGACTAAGTGATCGCGCATTTAGTAGATGTTGAGTCGTTTCTAGTCTAATTGTTGCCGAAAACAGCATGTCGTTCTGTTAGAATCTAGGAGATCGCAGCCCCTAGGCTAGGTGCGGTAAGTGAGCCGGTAGGAGCAATTATCGAATTAAGTCGAGTGGTTCTTCGAATTAAGTGTAGTTAAATTTAAATAACGTATTTCCCCCTATTTGTGTTTTTCTAGATATTAAAGATTTCCCCCCAATTGCAGTTCCCTATGTTATAAATTTCCAGAGTGTTAAGTGTTCTCTTCTAAAAATAGGCTAAGTCCACAAAAAATTTAGTCTGTCCTGATAGAAAATAGTCTAAGTCAGACGCGAGATTTCTAGAGCGTAGTTAATCCTCTGGGCTTAGTACTTCATGTCCGGTCACTAACTGTACGAGGAGAGTGGCGCCACCGTTTTTTTTTTTTTTTTTTTTTTGAGATATATACAAGAGTTTTTACATTCTTGTACAGCCACTAGTACGCGTAGCGTTTCGGGCAAGTCCTTAATCCTATGGTCCCTGGAATACGATCCCCACCGCGAAGAATCGTTGTTACAACCAAGTACACATTTTACTGTTGCGTTAAACAGAGGCTACAGTTAAGGATTTGCGCCCAGTAAATCCTCCCCGGCCAGGGTACGAACCCATGACAAAGCGCTCGTGGAACGCCAGGCGAGTGCCTTACCACTACACCACGGAGACTGTTTTCTACGCTAATCCCTTGGGACTGCCTTAGGCTATCAGCTAGCTCAGGTCACTACCACTTCCAATCACGGGAGACATCTCCCGTCACACAGGGTGCAGTCGCACCTTCACAGGTCTCCAGTATCATCTATTGATACTGGTAATGGCTCAAGAGGGCCACCACTTACGAGCTATTCATGCCCGTGCCACCTTTTGGGTGGCTTAATCTTCATCAATCTATTACTTCCAATGTTTAAATCTATGAACTTTCTATATTACAGTTCTACTGTTACACGCTATTACAAATACGCTGTATAACAAATATTGTCTTCATGTAAAATACAGACCTCCATCTGTTCAAATCCCTAAACATGCTAAGTCTAAATTCGCTCCACACATTCTCTTGTGCTATTTACACTTATGTATTCTTATTCTAATCCTATTTTGAAACAATTCCAAGATGGATGTAACAGAACATGAGCATCATACGAGAAATAAATATATCTGGTATTTCCAGAATCGGACTAAAACATACACTGCAAATCAAACCAGCATTGCATGTAATGAAATGGTAATTTCTGGGCGAGCCCTTGTGGTTACCTGAAGCTGTACACAAAGATGGTTCCCATCTAACAGATCGCAATAGCCGTGTAGTTCTGTAGGCCTACTGAGGACCGGAACCAGAACCTGGGCCCCACTCACAGGTGCAGGGAGCTCTGACATTTCTCCACTTCTCTGGGAAAGCAACCAAAACACACCTCAGCTGAATTGAAAGTAGATCAAAGCCACTATACCTCCCGAGTGAACTATCCCAACTATGTAAATAGACAATCTAATTATCTCGAAACTAGTATGAGCTCATTCATCCCACTTCCCCCCCCCCCTCGTTTGAGGGGAGGAAGAAGAGGTTCATGGGCTGTTGCAGTTTTACATCAGTTCTGGAGCAGATTCAATCACTCATCCGACGACCTGGAAGGAAAGATGAAATCGGGGATCTACTGAAACTCATCCAGAATTTAGCATTTTCATTACATTAAATGCTGGGTTTCTGGGGGAAGCCCCTTGTGGCTCCCTGAAGCTAACTACAGCAACTGCGCTTCCAGAGGAGAGCATGAAGCTCCCTGACCCGAGAACTGGAGGCAAGGGAAACTGAAAAAAAACACCTCCGAGGGAGCCGGTCGGCCAGCACCCTGGACTTGTGATCCTGTGGTCCTGGGTTCGATCCCAGGCGCCGGCGAGAAACAATGGGCAGAGTTTCTTTCACCCTATGCCCCTGTTACCTAACAGCAAATAGGTACCTGGGTGTTAGTCAGCTGTCACGGGCTGCTTCCTGGGGTGGAGGCCTGGTCGAGGACCAGGCCGCGGGGACACTAAAAATCCCCGAAATCATCTCAAGATAACCTCAAGATAACCTCAGAAGGAAGCATGGACCGAAGGCAACATTGTAAAACAAGAGGAGAAAAGAAAAGCAAAAACACAGTCCAAAGACCAAGCAGGCTCCAGCAGCACATGAGCACGCCAGAGGTGAAACAAAGCACAAGACAGCCTGCAAAATGGTGCCGAGACAGTATGAACAGTGAATGCAAGCTGCAGTGTCTCTGGCTCTTTCAGCACTGCATGATATAAAGCGATGGTATTCGGCATGAGATGTGGATAAAGGAAAAACCAAGAAAGAAAGGAGAGCACGACATGCTCAAAAACTGATGGGTGACAATGATGATGATGAAAAGAAAGTGGCAGGAGAGCCATAAAACCTCATACCTACATACCATAAAACCTACAAGAGGAACAAAGGTAGGATACCATCAAAGAAGCCACCCACCCGCCCTACATAAAGATGTCAGTAGAGACAAGTCAAAAACACCAGATGTGAAGCGCTGTGGAGATGGTTGAACCAGCAAAATACAACACTGGGCTGACTTTCCAGTGTAGGCAGAACTACGAAAAAACAGCTGGGTTTGGACTCCAAACAATCAGTGCCTGAAACAAAGGCTGAAACAGCCACCAAGGAGCCAGAAGGATCACTTTCCTATGGTAGGATTTCAACCTGGCCAAGACCTGGAGCAACAGCTGGACAGGGAAAGAAGTATTGGAACCCCCACCTCCTCCAGTCCAGCTGAAAGTCATCCAGTGCCAGGGCCTCACAATCAAGGAATGGAGCCACGTACAAAGGAAGTCACCGGCACAACAGATAAGCTGATGCCTACCAGGAAGAGAGATCACGGCGCAGATCAAACAGAGAAGGACGAGCTGAGAAAATCATTTGTAACCCAGCATCTAACTTTACAGTTGGCTGACTTCAACCCACAGCAGGTAATGCCCCAGCTTTACCCAAATGCCTTCAAGAAAGAGAACAAAAAAAACAAGAGCAAAGGAGATCCGAAATAGGCCAACAAACTGCAGCTGCCAAAGAAAGAAACCAGGAGAACATATCCACAGGAAAGAGGAAGAAAAATGGGAGGTGGACAAGAGAGGAAGGGCCCATGCTGAATCCAAAGTCCTGTCAACAACACAGCACAAGTTAAGCAGTGAAGAACGTGGCCACCGCCTTTCCAGAGCATGGAGGCGGACAGCTTGGAGAGTATAGCAAACAAAGCCAACACCCCCCCCCCTTCCCAACATGAGGCCTCTGCTGAACACCTCCCCAGAAAATCGCACGACGGTAACCAAATAATGTAAGTGGGCACAAAGTACGATTGCCATAAACGGCACTGACAACAAAGGCACCAGGGCATTGAGTTGCATGAGAATCATGTCGCAAGAAAGAAAGCAAACAGGCAGCCACTGAGGGGCACAAAAGAAAGAAAGCTCAGAACCACATGCAAAAAGAATGTCCACTAGCCAGGAAGACTCCAGAGCCTCAGAAAGCTGAAAGGGAAAGATGACCGAAACTCAAAAGAGGAAGGGGCAATCAAAGAGGAATAAAGTTTCGCAGGTGGTACAGGATGAGTGCCTCCCAAGCCACCGAAGAGTAAGGAAACCTCCAGAAAGGTGATCCTAATGGGTCCAATGGCACACGGAACTGAACCATGTGGGAGCCGCATCCAAGCATGCTCATACAGAGAGGAAAGACATGAAAACCCCTCCTCCTGCCACAGAAGACCCTCTACAGAGGGAACAAGGCTCCAGAGCTGAAAAGGACTCAAGGGCCATATCAAACTTTCATAAGCCCCAGCAGCCACACTCAAGGACACTAAGGGCTGAGCCAGTATCCATGCTCATTGCCTGGGATAGAAAAACAGAGTTCAGAGGAGAGGATAGCCCTCGGTGGGACTAGCAAGCTCAACTGCCAGCATACCCAAATTGGAAGGGGCAGCCCCCTGGAACTGGCCGAGCCACATCCCAAGCTAAACCGTTCCATGACCCAGAAATCCTGAAACTTTTTGGGTCAGAAGCAGGGGAAAGAGGATAAGAGGAAGGGCGAACCACACCCAGAGAGATAGAAAAATGGTGTGAACAGAGGCAATGTTGCATTCACCAACACCTCCAAATCCAGGTCAGCTAGAAGCCGGAGTCAGACAACAATCACTTCACCCTACCCTTCGCCATTCCATACGATTAAGGGGATTAGAGTGAGGTGCACACTCTCTTTTTAAATGTCTAGATTTGACCGTGTTCTCCTTGCCTGGGCTACATGGGTGTGAAGCCCAACCTCAATGTGCAGAAGAGAAGCCTATGAACCACCAGTGCGCCCCACCAGCCAAAGCTGTCCCAACCTGGGTCAATCAAGCCACAAGACCCCTGACTCACCCTAGGCGAGGGCCACCACAAGTGAGAACCACCTCTGAGGGAGTTACTCTCGAACACTCCAGAGAAGATAACTGTGCAAGGGCATTGCTAGGGAGCACACAGGGAAGGTAACCCTGAGCATATGCAGTTCCAAGCACCCTTAAAGACAGGCTCACGCTACACCACAATGTATAGGAAAAGTCTTCAAGGAGGAGCGTACATGAAGGGAAGGTGACCCAGGAACCACTACGTCAGCAACAGAATTGATGGTTCAAACCCCGGCAGGCCTTTAGCCGTCGTCGGGCCCCCCCCCCCCCCAACAAGTTAGGGAGGTAAGGTGAGCTTGCTCACCAATTTCGATATAATTCGATCCTTTGTTTACATAATTTGGGGGAGTTCATTAGGCAGGTTTTAAGGCTTGTCTCTCTTGAATCGAGCAGTGGTTTGTTTTTTCTGACTGATTTCCTGGTTGCTTTCCCTGGTAAGGTGGCGAAATGTCACAGCTCCTTACGCCTCTGAGAGGGGGCCAGGTTCTGGCTTTGGTTTCCGGTAGGCTTTTTAATTTCCACAGTGGATAACCATCTTGGTATATAGCTTCAGGTACCCACAAAATTCTGCCTCCAGAATGGGACTCAGTATATGGAACTTACATCCTAATGAAGTAACAAATTATTCAATCTCTACTTTACTCAAAAGTAGAACAATGAAATACCATAATTTCATCACCACAATATTCCATCTTGTACTAACTCGCCAAGTATTTTAGTATCTAGAAATCCAACATCAGTGTAATAATAATGTTTACAAAAATTATACATAGTATTACATTGTTCAATGATTAGTATAGAAATATTTCAATACTACACTACAAGGTCATTAATCTTACATAATTTTATCTGATGGGGGAGAAGCATGTAGTAGGCTATTTGCTCTTCTAATTTTTGTTTGTACATGTAGATGTAAACTTTTACAAATGCTGTCACCCATTGAGGGATAATAGAGGGTTTATGAATAACCTTTCACTCCAAGTTCATAATCAATCACTAATTAGCATACAAGCAGTGAAGATTATTACATTTAACTACCTTCAGCATTGATTCTAAAAACAAAATATTTCCTTCAGTTGCTGATGAGCACAGCGACAATGGTGACAGGCATAGGAGCACTCCTTTTCACTTTTGTGCCCAGTGCCAGAAGGTCAAAGGTCACTGGCCTGAATGGGACGACTAGTGGCAGCCAATTCGGTATTGAGATTTCCAGCAACTTCAATAATGGAACGATGACAGCATTTGAGGTTGACTCGGAAAAATTGGTTGAGACATTTTGGTACTACCTGGCTGTGAGGACCCTCTTTGGGTAAGTCCTAGTTTTAGCTAACTGTAACTGCCAAAGTGTAATTACCTAAGTGTAGTTACAGGATGAGAGCTATGCTCATGGTGTCCCGTCTTCCCAGTACTCTTTTTTTTTTTTTCATGTGACACTTTGAAACTACTGATGGTTCTGGCCTCCACCACCACCTCAGTTAAATTGTTCCAGCTGTCTACCACTGTTTCCAAAAGTGAACTTTTTTTTCTCGGCTTTCTTTCCGTAGTTTGAACCTGTCATCTTCTTGAAATTGCAATTTTCAAGAATTCTTCTTGATCAGTTTTGTCATTTACTGTTATTATTTGGTAAGAAGTGATCATATAACCAACGTTGAATGTTATGAAACGTTGGTTATATTAAGAACATAAGAACAAGGTAATTGCAGAAGGCCTATTGGCCCATACGAGGCAGCTCCTGTTTATAACCACCCAATCCCACTCATATGCATGTCCAACCCACGTTTGAAACAGTCGAGGGACCCCACCTCCACCACGTTACGCAGTAATTGGTTCCACAAATTAACTACCCTGTTACCGAACCAATATCTACCCAAGTCTTTCCTAAATGTCCAACCACTTGGGCTGGATAGTAGAGCGACGGTCTCGCTTCATGCAGGTCAGCGTTCAATCCTCGACCGTCCAAGTTGTTGGGCAGCATTCCTTCCCCCTGTCCTATCCCAAATCCTTATCCTGATCCCTTCCCAGTGCTATATAGTCATAATGGCTTGGCGCTTTCTGATAGTTCCCTTCCCCTTCCCCTTCCCTTTCTAAATCTAAAATATAGTTTAGTTTAATCAACAGCTATTGAGTTGATTATACTGGGTTGAGCCCTGAAGGCTCCCTGAAGCTTACGAACTGATATCCGCTATATTAGTCCAGACCATCAGTTAAAGTTCTTTGCCTAAAAGGGCACCATGAGCCAGAACCTGGTTCCCTCAGAGAGGCGCAGGAAGCAATGGCTTATGAACATTGCACTAATTGAGAGTATAGTCATGTCCGTCATCGACCGGGGATATCACCCAGAAAGGTAGATGAACCATTACAATCCCCCTACTGGTAAACCATTGCAACCCAAGAACTTCCACAGGAGGAAACAACAAACGAGCAAATAGTGCACCCGCCCAAGCGGCCCAAGCACTGACACCAGCAGTTTGTAAACTGACAACAAACCGTCGACCGGAGAGAGAGGGAGGGTGTCTGGGAGCCTGTTGGGATCAGCCCAGAAAATGGTGTTTCATTACATTCAATGCTGGTTTTCTGAGGTAAGCCCTGTCGGCTCCCTGATGTTATATACCCACAGATAAGTGAAAAGGGATTTCCCTGGGAAGCGCAGTACCGCATTCCTCACGACGACGATGGGACAACAGGTCACCACAAACGAGCCCAAAGCCACACAAGGCCGCTGAGGACCTGGAACGTTAACAATATAACGGGCAGCCAGGGCTCTGTTCGACCTCCAAAACCCCTGCTATGTTACCAAAGACCGCAGCAAGAGCTGCAAACTTCCACACATCAAGGGCATGAGGAAAGACTGCAGGCTGGCTAGACTAGAGAATCCTGCAGACGATCTGAGAGACCCGAGCCCTGGAACAGGAAATGATTGACACAGGATCTACCCAAAGCGCATCCACGGATACAGAACAAGAATCGCGCAGATAACAGCAGAGAGCCATAACTGGACACAAAACATGATGCACCCCCCCCCCCGCCTGACCAACCAAGCATCAATAACCCACGGACCCCTACGGAAGATCGCCACTTCATTCTTCGCCAGAAAAGGCTGCAAATAAACAAAATGCCCCTCTGGGCCAAAGGTGTTGTATTGTTGGTGCCGCAGAAACCTATGTGGCAAAGAAGAGCAGGAAGCTCCCCAACCCAACCCCAGAGGCGTAAGCCAACAAAAACACCTTCAAATGCAAGCTGGAGTGGCTCCGCCAGCGCCGCATGATAAAAAGCGATGGTATGCAGCATAAAATGCCAGTCCTGAAAAGGCCAAGAGAAAGAACAATACAACCTGATCAGAAATAGATGACAGCCTACGAAAGGAAAGGAAATGGAGAAAAGGACGCCAAGAGACTTCATACTATTGCTGAGATGAAGACCGCAGGTGGGACACCAGAGAAACTACCTGATCACCATAAAATTGGTGATACACTCACGTTAAAAACACCAGATGCAAAGGGCGAAAGAGTAGGGCAAACCAGCAAGGTACCCGACTAGCTCAACCTGCTGAAAGAGGCAGAGCCGCAGAAAAACTCTCCGGTTCGGACACAAAGCAAGCAGCGCCTGAAACAAAGACCGACCTGGTTAGCACTAGTCACAAATCCCCAGCCTAGGGACGAGGTGTCCATGAACATATCGAGCAATGGAACAGGTAGGCGTCAAAGCACTGAACCCCGAAAAACCCGGTTGAGGTTAATGACAAATGACACCAACCTCAACAGGAGTGAAATCCCGAAATGTTTCAGGGAAGAAAATCCTGAAATGCCAGGGCATTACCTACTGGACACCTAGGGAAGAGATGCTGCCCTAGACGCATGCAGCCCGAGTATTCTAGAACATCTGGCGTGCACACCACTCCACACAGCTGGCACAACCATACAGGGGGTAAAGTCCAGACAGGAGAATGAGGCCAGAGATAACATCTGATTTGTATGACATCAGTCAACGAACTGGCGGTGTCAGCACTTGGGTCGCCTGGGCTAATCCTCACCGACTAGTGACTCCTCATCACCTGATCTGTCACTTGTTAGTGACACATCCTCCCGGGGGATAGGGGTGTCGCTAATGAGCAGTCATGCTAGTTAGGTGGATATTTGCTTGCTTGTTTCCTCTTGGGGGGGGGGGAAGTTCTTGGGCTCTGTTTGTTCAGTCTTTTGTTATGTTCGGTCTTGGGTTGCCATGTTCTAATACCTTTCTGGGTGATAACCCTGGTCAATTGCAGACATGACTATACTCTCAATAAGTGGAGTGTTCTTAAGCCATTGCTCCCAGCACCTCTCTGAGGGAACCAGGTTCTGGTTCGTAGTTACCAGTAAGAAAGATGCTCTGGACTAATGAAGCGGATATCAGTTCATTAGCTACAGGGAGTCGACAGGGCTCACTTCAGAAAATCTTTTTTTTTTTCAATTTCCTAGCTTTGGTATATTTAACACCCATAGTTTCTCTTCATATCTTTTGTTTTTTGTTTCTGGAAGACATTTTGTGGGATGCCATTGCATCTTTTCCAGTTTATTGATGTGCTTCTTGAGATTTGAGCGCCATACAACTGCTGCATATTCCAATTTTGATTTCACAAATATCATGAACAGTTTCTTCGGTATTTCACCATCATGTGTCTAAAAGCAATTCTGAGCTTGGGAAGTATAGAATAGGCTCCTAACACAATGTCCTTTCTAGTCGGAGCCCCTTGAGACTCCCTGAAGCTATTATCAACGATTTAGTGCCATACTAGGTGCCATCAGTCACGAAGTTGCATTGGCCTACTTGGGACCGCGAGCCAGAACCTGGCTCTCTCAAAGAGGTGCAGTGTGTCCTGGCCTGTAAACACTACATTTAAAGTAAATCATAATTGCCACTACCAGGGAAGGTACCCAGAAAGTTAGGCAAAACAAAACAGACTACTGCATGGTTAAAACAAGCCGGCAGCTTTAAAATTCCCAAAATGACTCTCCCAACAATGAAAACAAACCACCAAATATTTTGTGAAACTAGTGTGAGCTAGTTTGCCCCACCTTTCCCCCTTCGGCTTGGGAGAGGAGGGAGCCAGCACGATGGGTCTGGGGCTCCCCCTTCCCCCTCCCAGGGAGGGGATAGCTTGTTTGCTGTTTTCATTTGGGGAGTTCTGTCCACTTGTTTGTCTATTTTCGTCGGTTTAACCAGAACAGGGGTTTGTTTTGAGGCGCTTACCTTTCTGGGTGCCTGTCCCGATCAATGGCAGATACAGAATGCTCCAAATCACATGTGCATTTCTATAGGCCATTGCTCCTCGTGCCTCTCTGAGGGGGCCAGGTTCTGGCTCGTGGTCCCCGGTAGGCCTAGAACCCCATACACACTGATGCCAAAGTTTAGTGATATACGTATCAGCCTGGATAGCTCCGGGGAGCCTCCGGGTTTCACCCAGAAAATGGCTATTCATTACATTTAATACTGGTTGTTTTATTCATTCTAGTAATTTACCATTTATTCCATAGGCCTATAATTTCCTTGCCAGCCTTTCATGACGTTCATTATCTAAGACTAGCAAAATCTATGTATACTACATCCATTAGAAGGCCTTTGTCTCAGTAGCTGGTGATCATTTCCAAAAACGTGAGCAGGTTTGTAAGGCAGGATCTGTTTTTGACAAACCCATCTTGTGCCGATTGTACAAGATAGTTCACTGAAAGATGGTGAATGATTCCCTCCCTGAGAATTCTCTCCATGAGTTTGCAGATGTGTGATGTCAGGCTGATCTGCCTGAGTTTGTTTTTCTGTTTCTCTGAGTTTTCTGTCAAGCTCTTTCTGCCCTTTTTAAAAATAGAGATGAGATTTGCATATCCACATTCAAGGGGGGGGGGATTATATCTTGGTTCATAGATTTAGTGAAAAGTATTTCAGCAGTAGGCATAGTTCATCTGCTAGTTCCTTTATGTGCATGTTTTGATGATTATTTGCTACATTCTGACAAAACTATTAACATGCTTAGCAGAATTCTTCAGTATATCCTTCAATTCTTCTTCTCGTGCAGGATGTTCCAGTCTGTGGGATATACACTGTTCGAAGCATCAGTGATGACACAAGTGCAGGAGCGAGGCATCAACTATGGCTTCCAGAGGGCATGGGGCACTCTGGCTGTCATAGTATTCTCCCTCATCAGTGGCTACATCATTGACAAAACAGGCGGCTTCAAGTAGGTTTGTGTGCACGCTGAGGCTGCCACCACCTTCACTCTTATAGGCACATGTGCTGAGGACAAGAGGGAGGAGGGAAGGGAACGTGAGGGGATGGAAGGTGAGAGGTGGTAGAGGAGAGGGGTTAGGGAGGTAGATGCTTAGCTAGTATGAGCACTATAGGTAGTAGTTCCTACCTTGGGCGAAAGTTGAATAAAATATTATATTTCTTTTTACCAAGTCAGGATAAAAAAAATTGTGCGCGCCAGTGGTTAGCGTCAGCGGCTGGCATTCTCACGTTTGTGGGGTTTGAGTCACCTAAAAGCTCCAGTTGATTTTCTCATCTTTATTAATTATAATTACTATTATTATTACACAGAGTAATCACACTAAAGTAGCATCAATGAGAACACTCATAAGAGCCATGATGAGGGTTCGAACCTATGCGGTGGGTGTTCACACGTGCACGCGTTAGTGTGATTACTCTGAAAGAGGAGCATCAAAGGTAGAACATTACTAGATGACAAAGCCTGAGTGCTTGGTGGATATTGTGGGAAAGTCCTGGTCCCCGCTTCAATTGAAGCCTCGGGAAACCCTTGTGTGTTTGGTAGAACTCCAGGTTACAATCCTTACACCATGATGTGCCCTAGTCGTCTAGAGCATGGGCGTGGGAACACCTACCACATAAGTTCGAACCCTCATCATGGCTTCTATGCATTTATTATTATTAAGCAGATGCACAAGTTGAGAAGAAAAGGTAGAGAGAGAGAGAGAAACAGAGGTAGCTAGGGTTGGAAGGAGGGGTTACAGTGGGAATGAGAGGTAAACTAGGAATCAGAGTTGGAAGGTGGGAATGATCTGGACACTGAATGTATTATTACTATGGTTTCCATTATGTTAACAGCATTCTTGCAGAATGATCTTCTGGGTGTCAGCAGTTCTACACATTGTGTCAGCCGCCTTAATGCTGTTACTGACGAACTTCAAGGTCCCGACTCAGTCTTTAACAAAGGAAATCTTCAAGTACCTGTGCAATGCTGAGGTCATCTTACTCTTCACTGCTCTGCTGGTTGCAGGTGTGTGCATGGGGACCTTCTTTAGAAGTGGTTGCAGATATATGCATAGATCCTTTATAGATCACTGTAGATATTTATAGGGGGACTCTTCGTTGCAGGTGTCCTTTATTTATTAATATTTAGCGATGCCATGTCTGCTTACCTCATCGTCTTTGTAATGCAGTGGCCACTAACTACTATATGTTTATTCCAGTGCCTGACCTGACCCGAGACCTAAAACAATCAGTCTAATCCAATCTCTTTGTAACAATGTCCCTTTTTAACCCTTTTAATGTCCCGTACACTTGCCTAAAAAAATCTCAAATATCGCATGAACCGTGGAACCAGGAGTTGACAAACTGGGCACGGGATCATACAGCCCGAGAGGAGCAGCTCAGCTGCCCAGCACAGGCATGGGATAGAAAATTGGGGTCCAAAGGAAAGGCTTCCAGGGAAGGGGGGTTGGCTGAAAGGAATACCAAAGCCACAGCGGGACGAGCAGGCTCAACTGTCTCCGCACCTATATTTGAAGGGACAATCCCGGGAGCTATCTGAGCCACATCCCAAGCTCAACTCCGCTCCGACCCGGAAACCTTCATCTGGACCGGAAGCAGGGAGCCCGGTTGACCATGGGCTACCTCCTCTCTTACCCATGAACGAGTGGGGGAGGTTGGGCAAACGAGTTTGCGGTACTTTTGAGAGAATTCGATCATTTATTTACATAGTTATTTTAGTAGTTTTAGAGGCTGCAGTCTCTATTGAAGCCAGCAGTTCTTTGTTTTGACTCGCTGACTTTCTGGTTGCTTCTCCTGTGATGATATAAATAAATTCATGTCACCACTCTGTGCCTCTGTGAGGGGGGGGGGCCAGGTTCTGGCGTTTGAAGTTCTTTTGGCCGGTAGGCCAATAGAACTGCTGATGCAACCTAGTAGATGGTAAACTATCAGTCAATGTAAACTTCTGGCTCCCCGCAGAAAATTTGTCTCGAGTAGACAGGCCTTTCAAAAACTGGAGTGCATGGAAAAATTAATTTAAATACAAGAGGACTTTTGGTGGTGAAAAAGTTGAGAACCACTCTCCTAGATTGTTTTGCAAATGTCAGTAAAGAATATTTTTCATATCCTTGCACTGAAAAATTCTTAACAATTCTGTTTTCACTTTCCTTGGCAGGTGTGTTCATCGGGTACCTGGAGACGTTCATGTATCGCTATTTGTTTAGCTTGGGTGCTAGCAACATTCTCATTGGCCTCACCGTGACGGTTGGGGCACCCTTTGAGCTCATTATCACCCTAGTCACTTCTTACTTCGTGAGGCTCATGGGTCATGCTCCTCTGATAATGGCAGGCTTATCTGCTTATGCTGTTAGGCTGGTTGGTAAGTTGGATGTTCCTACCCAACTTCACTGGTATATATGAAGTTTTAATTGTTTAAGAATTTTTTTTTTTTTTTATTTTTATAAATTACACAAATACAAGAACACACAAAACAACGCAAACCTGTACACATCAAGTACACCAATGAAGGAACAGTACACAGGAATAAACAGTCTGTACACTAAACAATAACAGTAACCGCAAAACAAACACAAGCGCTGAACAAAATAAAAACGCATTGAAGCAATGGGCTAAACAGTACAGGGAAATAAGTGCTAAAACAGTACATGGAAACAATAGGCTAAACAGTTCATATCTACATAGCAACACAGAACATGGCCAAGAAAATTACATGAAAAATAAAGAAAACAATAAAGTACATAAATAACATTTAAACACACCTGGAACCAATAACATAAACATACACAGACGTGGATATAGAATCACGTGCACAAAACCACGCCTACCACACACACAGAAGAACAAAGGAGCATAGGACCATACACGCGCTACCCAGGAAAATGACATACACTAAATGAGAAGAAATTATGTACACACACACTAAACACACTCTAAACAACAAGACAAACACACTCATACCACCCACACCACCACGGCACACCACACTGCACCCAAGCACGCAAAATAATGGGTTACAGGCCAAAGCGAAACACGGCCACAAAAGGAACAGTAGAAAACAGTACAGCAGAAAACCCAGGCCCACGCAGGAGCCAAAACCCCCCTCAAAACCACACACCCACACGCATACGGACACAACCGGCACCCGGAGGTACGGAAACACACCACACACACACAGGAGCAGCAGCATCTCAAGGGGGGAGACACACAAACACACGCAACCCCCGCCAAGGACACCCCAAGAAGCGGAAAGGGAGCGCATAGCAAAGCAAACCCCGAAACCCCCCAACCCCTCAAACCCCCCCCCCCCATCAACACCCCAACCCCACCCAAGACGAGAACATCACCTTGCCACCAAGGCACCCGCCGACCCAAAGGCAACCCCACGAACATAGGCATCTGTGAACCACCGACCAAACTCCTCCGGAAAAGCGCGCTGCAACCACCACCAGGTAAACCGCATGCGCCCCCGTAAAAATCCTAAAATTCGGGCAATCCCAAAACCCTCCCGCCTCCCAACCCACACACAAAACACATAATCAGCAACCAAAACACATAATGTATTACGCACCCGCAGCGGATAAGCCGGAAAATACAAAAACAAAAACTGCAAAACATCACCCCGACAACCCGGACCACAAAACACCTCCAGGACATCCCGAAACCAGTCCACCAACCCCTGTAACCGGACACAAAAATAAAATACATGCACCTGCGATTCACATAAACCACAATGAACACACGCCCCAGAATCACGCAAGCCAAGCATACACAACCGCTCATTTGTCGCCAGCGACAAATGCAGAACCCGAAACAGCAATTCACGCTGCTGAGGCGCCAAGAACCGTGCCCCCAAACACGACCAGATACCACCCCAATCCCAACACGGGAACAAGCCCTCCACTCGAGGCCGCACCCGGGGCAACAACACCCCATACACAGCCTTGCACGAGAAAGACAGAAACCCAGGATGGCGGCAGAGCTCCCGAAGAATCCCCACGTCCCAAGAATAAACAGGGGGGATAAACAAGGCCACCTCCTGACAAACCCCCAAATCAACCAAAAAACTGAAGCGAAGCGAGCAGAAAAAACACCCAGCGTATTCAACCCCCCACCGAGAGCCAGCCCCCGACGCAACGAGACCCAGAAGAGGGCCTTGGCCTTCGTGAAGACGTCAGGAATGCCAACACCCCCTCTCTCTCACCCCTAACACCAACGTCGAACGGCGCACCGGTTGATAACGCCCACACCATACATATCTATACACCACACTCTCCAAACTCAAGGCCTTCCGACGATCCAACGGGAAACATCGAGCCACAAACCAGACACGCGACAAGACCTTACACGCAACAAGCAGTCCCCTCTGATAAATCGTCAAGGGACGACGCGACAAAAGGCCAACTGCAACACCAACCGACCGAGAGACAGCACCCCAATTCCACTCCAAGGAGTGGTCATAGGAGGCAAACCAAGTAACCCCAAGAACCCGAATCGAGGAGACCACCGGAAACCACGACCTATCCCACACCAGGCGGGAGGCCCACTCACCGATCCCCATCAACCCCGACTTCGCCCGATTAAGAACGGCCCCCGTAGCGGACTCAAACCGCAGGAGAACGTCCTGGACAGCTTCAACAGAATCCTCCGAAGCTACAAATAGAATGGTGTCGTCAGCATACCCGCAAACGGGTAGCCGGAGACCGGACGGCAGACAAGGAGGCACGATCAAGGAACACGCTTTCACCGCCCGGAAAAGAGGTTCCTGAAAAATCACATACAAAAGCATGGACATGGGACACCCCTGACGAACGGAACGGCAAATAGGAAAAAATGAGCTAAAAAACCCATTCACACAAACGCGACTGCGACTCCGGACATACAACAAACGGACCCACCCCACAAACACCACCGGAAAACCAAGCCTCTCCATAGCACTAAAAACAAACTCTAAAGACACCCGATCAAAGGCCTTGGACCAGTCCAAGCTGATCATAGCCGCCGAAAGCCGATACTCGGACGCATAGAGAAGCACGTCACGAAGTAAGGCATTGCAATGCATCAGGGCACGGCCAGGCACACCACAAAATTGCTCCATAGAGACCACCGACGCAACGACACCCCGACATCGACGCGCTAAAACCTTAGAAAGAATTTTATAATCAACATTTAAGAGCGTAATAGGCCTCCAATTGGAAAACAACTGCAAATCGCCCGGCTTCGGGAGTAGCCGCACGATCCCGTCACAAAAGGAATCAGGCAGAGCACCCAAACGCAAACACGCCTGCACCACTTCCAAAAGCACCCCCCCCAACACATCCCAAAAGGTAAGGTAGAACTCAATGGGCAGGCCATCCGCACCCGGCACTCTCCCAGAACGAAACGACCGAACCACCTCCAGGAGCTCCACCGTGGAAACATCCTGCACCAACCGGTCACACTCCGAGCGCGACAAACCGGGGAAGCACCTGTCCAAAAAGGAACCCGCGAGCACACTATCACCATGCACCTCCCCATAGAGTGCCTCCAACTCCCGCCGCGCGGTAAGCAGAACACCCTCTGTGCTAGAAATCACAGACCCATCAGGCCGCCGAAGGCCCTTGAGAAGAACGGAACCCCTAGCAGCCTTCTCCCTCCCTAAAAGAAAGGGAGAGAGCCTCTCCCCATCCACCCGCTCAGCTACACGAGCACGCACGCGAACACCGTCAGCCAACACCGCACGCAAATCACAAATACGCTCCTTACACTCAGCAATCTCACTAAAGCAGTCAACCCCAGCATTCAACCGCACATATAAAGAAGACAAACGCGCCTGAAGGAACCGCAGCAGACCAAACCTCCCGGCAGCCTCCCGCTTAGCAACAATCCCAAAAAACCTCCGACACTCCACCTTACACCACTCCCACCAAACGAACAAAGAGGAGAAATCAGCCTTCCGGGCAACGATGCCAACCCACCAGGCCCGAAACTGCGCACAAATACGTGGACAACGCAATAACCGACAATTGAGTTTCCACCACCCAGGCCCCACCCGCACCTGACTCCGGACACCAACCCGGACAACCACCAAACAATGATCCGAGAAAGCCACCGGGACCGTGCGAAAATAAAAAACCGAACACTCCCCACCAGAAACATAGAACCTATCCAACCTAGAACTCGCCCCACGCGCAGCGAAGGTATACTCCAACGAGCCGCCACACAAAACAGCCGCATCGCGAAACCCGCACGCACGCAAAACCTCAATTAAAGCGGCCGAAACATTCCGAGGGTGAGCACTAGAGCAATCCCTCACACACGTAACACAATTAAAATCCCCCCCAAAGATCAAATCCCGCGTATCATGCCGCAGGTATGGCAAAAGCCCCTCCCGAAAAAACAGCTCCCGGTCCTGACGATGCGCCACCCCAGAAGGGGCGTACACTGTCAAGAACGGAATCACAACCCCCAAATACTCAGCCCGAACAAACAAGACCCGCCCTTCTTCATCCATTTCCGTGTGAAGCACGGAAATGGATGCCCTCCGCGAAAACAACATCAGCGTTCCCCCAAAGGACGTCCTCGGCGGGTTCAACACAACATGATACTCAGCACACAACCCCTGCAACACAGACACATCCCGAACATTGTGCTCTTGGATCAGAGCCACATCCACCCGCTGCTCCCGAAGCACATCCACAAGGCCCAATTGGACCGCCAAAGCATTCAGACCACGAACATTCAAAGACGCACAAACAATAGCAGGCGCCATCGAACCCATTAATGACCCCCAGCCCCTCCAGGACCACCAGAGGGCACAGAGCCACCCACTGCAGAGGCGCCGTCATCATCCTGAGGCTCAAACTGCCGCCGCCCCACCGTCGGGGAATCCACCATAATGCCTGGCCTCTGATCCCGCAGGAGGCGGACAGTGCCGGCATCACCCAGCGAAGCACGCCGAGACCCCGCTGCCACTGACCAGGTATCACCAACGTCCACCACCGACGAGGAATTCTCGCTGCCAACCGGCACTGCATCACTTCCGGAATCCATATCAGACACAGGAGAATTAGGAGGAGGAGGGGGGGCACCACCCAAGGCACAACTCCGCGAAGCCTCAATCCGTTTGCCAGGGGGCTCTCGACTGCGTGAGCGCGCCCCCGCAACGCGCTTCCGGCGAGGAGCAAGGGAGGTCAACGCCCCCTCATGGCACGCACCCGCAGGGGGAGCAGAAAGCGGACTCGCAATGCATGCAACAGGAACGCCGGCACCACCGACGACGCTTCCATCACCCTCAGTGAAAGCATCGCCTACAACGGGAGGCACCGAGACGACACTCCCAACACCACGCCCATTCACCAACGAAGCACCAGGAACAGGATGCACCTCCACATCCACCGGAAGTAGAAGACGGGAATCAGGAGCAGCCACGTCCTCCACCACAGCTGGCACAGAAGACACTACAGGCACAGACGAACCAGCAGGCACAGCAGTCGCAGGTGCACCACCAGGCACAGCAGTCGCAGGTGCACCACCAGGCACAGCAGTCGCAGGTGCACCACCAGGCACAGCAGTCGCAGGTGCACCACCAGGCACAGCAGTCGCAGGTGCACCACCAGGCACAGCAGTCGCAGGTGCACCACCAGGCACAGCAGTCGCAGGTGCACCACCAGGCACAGCAGTCGCAGGTGCACCACCAGGCACAGCAGTCGCAGGTGCACCACCAGGCACAGCAGTCGCAGGTGCACCACCAGGCACAGCAGTCGCAGGTGCACCACCAGGCACAGCAGTCGCAGGTGCACCACCAGGCACAGCAGTCGCAGGTGCACCACCAGGCACAGCAGTCGCAGGTGCACCACCAGGCACAGCAGTCGCAGGTGCACCACCAGGCACAGCAGTCGCAGGTGCACCACCAGGCACAGCAGTCGCAGGTGCACCACCAGGCACAGCAGTCGCAGGTGCACCACCAGGCACAGCAGTCGCAGGTGCACCACCAGGCACAGCAGTCGCAGGTGCACCACCAGGCACACAGTCGCAGGTGCACCACCAGGCACAGCAGTCGCAGGTGCACCACCAGGCACAGCAGTCGCAGGTGCACCACCAGGCACAGCAGTCGCAGGTGCACCACCAGGCACACCACCAGTCGCAGGTGCACCACCAGGCACAGCAGTCGCAGGTGCACCACCAGGCACAGCAGTCGCAGGTGCACCACCAGGCACAGCAGTCGCAGGTGCACCACCAGGCACAGCAGTCGCAGGTGCACCACCAGGCACAGCAGTCGCAGGTGCACCACCAGGCACAGCAGTCGCAGGTGCACCACCAGGCACAGCAGTCGCAGGTGCACCACCAGGCACAGCAGTCGCAGGTGCACCACCAGGCACAACAGTCGCAGGTGCACCACCAGGCACAACAGTCGCAGGTGCACCACCAGGCACAACAGTCGCAGGTGCACCACCAGGCACAACAGTCGCAGGTGCACCACCAGGCACAACAGTCGCAGGTGCACCACCAGGCACAACAGTCGCAGGTGCACCACCAGGCACAACAGTCGCAGGTGCACCACCAGGCACAACAGTCACAGGTGCCCCACCATTCACACCCCCACGCCGAGGACCAGCCAGGGATGCACCATCCTCACGGAGGGGGGGGGGGGGGAAAATCCCCCACACTGAATACAGAAGCAGTCTCCAGTCGAGGAACCTCACACTGGGCAGCGTCATGGCCCTCCTCCCCACAGCGGAAGCACGTGCGGGCCTGCCCTGGATAGAAAACTCGGAGCGGAAGACCACAGCACATAACCTTGGAGGGGATGGGCTCCTTGAGGCGCATATGCAGCGTGCGAGTACCCAGCCGGAGGCCCCGCAGCCGCCCGGCACTAAACAAGTTGTACCGATGACGCAACACCATACCATACCTCGTAAACACAGAAGAAAGCTCCACCTCTGGAAACGTAACAGGTACCCCGTGCACGCTCACAAAGGTCAGTGGACCCCACGGATCAGAGACAGTCACAGACACAGCCGAATGAGGAAGGGGAGTCGTCCGCTCGTTCCAACACCCCACAAACCGCTCGTATCCAGGTGACGTGGCAAACGTCACCGCCACGCGAGTGGGAGAAAATTTCTCGAGACCGAGGAGATCTTTAATATCCACCTGAAGGACATCCAAAAGCGCAGCCGCCACTAGTTCCCAATCCACCGGTGCAGAGAACTCCAGCCGAGCAGTATTCACACGGCGGATGCGGCCACCACCAGCCGCCGCCATATTGCTGACCTCCGCCTCAGTCAGCTGGCGCCCCACAGCAACGAGCAACCACCACCAGTCAGCGACAAACAGCTACTGGCAGCCAGAGCCCGACGTCCATAAGTACATGTAATAAGATATAATTTGAGATATGATCACTAGTATGGTATTTCACAAGCTAGATAAAACTAACATTGAATGTAATGAAACATCTCTTTTCTGGATGAGCCCCAGTGGCTCCCTGAAGCAATTTCATCGAGTTGGCTCCCATCTACTAGGTCACATCAGCCGCAGTGTTTTGTGTAGTTTACCGGAGGACCAGAGGCAGGCACCCTTACAGAGGCATAGAGCAGGTGACACTGCCACCACACCGGGAAAATAAAAAGGAAAGTCAGCAAAAGAATACAGACCACTACCGGGTTCAAAGAGACTGAAGCCTCAAAACTACCAGAAGAATTCCCCCAAACAATGTAAACAAACGATGAAATCTCTTGAAACTAGTACGAGCACATTAGCACTACCAAAGCTGGAATATGGAGCGGTTGTTTGGTGCTCATATCTTAAGAAGCACATCAACAAACTGGAAAAGGTGCAAAGACATGCAACTAAATGGCTCCTGGAACTGAAGGACAAGAGCTACGAGGAGAGGTAAGAGGCATTAAATATGCCAAAACTATAAGATAGAAGAAAGAGGCGATATGATCACTACATACAAAATAGTAACGGGACTCATTAAAATTGATAGAGAATAATTCCTGAGACCTGGAACTTCAAGAAACGGTCATAGATTTCAACTAAACAAATCTGCAGAAGAAATAAAAGAAAATTCACTTTCGCAAACAGAGTGGTAGATGTTGGTGGATGCCAGAGCTATCAGTAGTTTCAAAGCGTTATATGACAGAGTTCTGGGAAGACTGACGTAGCCTAGTCAAAGTAGCTGTGAAGATAGACTTCGATATGCTGTGTAAAACAAGCAAGCATGTGAACCCCAGTATATCCCAAGCAGCCAAAATGCTTACCTCTACTCAAGGATTTAGACAGAAGGGCAAAAGACCCTTATACACACCCCAAGGTAAGGCCCTCTCCCCAATAGTGTGGCCACTCAAGAACAATCTCCCAAACACACCAGGCAAGAAAACTGTCGCTATAGGGGTAACAATGTGAACACTCTGGGGATGTAGTCCATGAGCACGTACAGCTCCAAGCACCCTATGAACCAGGATCATGCACCACAAACCAGATGGAAAACATGCCCGTGAAGCTTACTAAAATATAGGACGATACCAAGTAAATGGACCCCCCATCCTCAGTAGGACAAAGCTTAAGGATGGCTGACTCTTAGCTTAGAAGCAGCAGGCCCCATGTGGCTTGTTGATAACCTGGGCACCCTACACTGAATAACCAGTCATGTCCACATCGGCGACAGAGCTGGCCTGGAGAGCTAGGGCTGATCTGGAGCCCCAGATCCTCGCCAGTTGATAGGGGTGGATGCATTAGTTCCAAGAGATTCGATCCATTGTTTACATTGTCTGGTTGTGGGGGTCACAAGCCAGTTTTGCAGTTTCGAGACTTTGGTCTCTTCAGCCCAGCAGTGGTAGTATTGGTTTCCTAACTTGTTGTATGCTTTCCTGGTGGAGTGGCAGCGTCACTAGCTTTGTGAGGAAAGCCAGGCTCTGGCTCAGGTCTCTGGTAGGCCAAACAGAACTCCTCGGCTGATGTGACTTGGTAGTTGGGCGGCTTCAGGGACTCATAAGGGGCGCCCTGTGAAATGGTGTTTTTCCTGACTTAATTATCCTAGCTTAATTTGAGCTGACCTGAATTTAATAACTTAGGTTATAGACATTCATATCAAACTCCTGTATGCAGATTACATATACTCAAATTTAACAACATGCTATTTTATACAAATATATCATGTTTACATGCAGGAATGAGTGTACTGATTGACCCATGGTGGGTGCTCCCATTGGAAATGCTGGAGTCTGTGGCCAATGGGTTGCTCTTCACTGCTGCCATTATGTACTGCACCGTCCTCTTCCCCATGGATACCATCACAACATTCCGAGGCATCTTTGCTGTTGTCTACTTTGGTGTTGGTGAGTTAATTTTGGAGTAGCTCTTGACTTGATTGAGATGTGAATGTTGTAAATACATCCCTCGAGATATTATCTCCGTAATCCACTCGCTCAAACCCGAAATTGCTAACACTAGGGCAATACCAACCATTACATAAACGTACTTAACAACTTACACCAGGTGCCTTTCTCTGCCTTTCGTTAATTATCTAAAGTTTCCTGTATCCGCTTCAGGTCAACTGGCCTGCGGGGTAGTTGGATTGTTTTGCGTGTCAGTAATTTTCCAAATTATACAGAACTAAAAAAGGTAATAATAAAATGAGTAGAAGCCGTGAGGTGCATCCTCCTCACGGATCCTGAGGAGCCGTGAGAAGGATTTGAACCCTCTCACTTCGTACTTCCAAGCCCACACCCTAGACTACTACACCACGATATGGTCAAAAGGAATGCAACCTGGGATTCAACTGAATCCTATATGGGGTCCTGAGGCTTCCAATGAAGCCCAATCAGGGATTTTCACACATTGTCCACTGGGCCTCACTGGAAGCCTCAGGACCCAGATACGATTCAGTTGAATCCCAGGATGCATTCCTTTTGACCAAATCGTGGTGTAGTGCTCTATGTGGGCTTGGTAGTACGAAGTGAGAGGGTTCAAATCCTCTTCATGGCTCCTATTGGTTTTTACATTGATACTTCACGTTAATGGGATTTCATTGTGCATTTGAAGAGAAGAGTTAGAGGTGGACCTCCTGGACCACAGCCAGGGTGCGTGCGGGCTATGTGTGAAACCCCTGATTGGGCTTAAGGAGGCCAAGTGCTCGTCCACCAAAACTTCCTCAAGCACACTCAATTATCTGGGGGGAGCCCCGTCGGCTCCCCAGAGCTTATCCAGGCTGATATGCTAATGTCAGGCTTTGACTTCAGTCATGTGTATGGAGTTCTGTGGGCCTACCGAGGACCACGAGCCAGAACCTGGCCCCCTCAGAGAGGCATGGGGAGCAATGGCCTCTAGAAACCCCCGTGTGGTTGGAAGCATTCTATGTCTGTCATCGACCGGGTCAGGCACCCAGAAAGGTAACCATCGCAAAACACACCCCTATTCTGGTGAAAATTGCTACCAAAAGCCGAACAAGTGGATAGAACTCCCCAGAAAGAAACAAGCAAACGAGCATGACGTCACACGTCGCCGCGCCACTGTCTGCGCAGCTCCCCCCTTCCCGGGAGGGGGAAGGGGGAGCCCCAGACCCCTTGCGCCTGCTATCCACCCTTCAGTTCTAAGGTTGATGCTAGAGGCAATGGTCGTGTGCTCCGGCTCCGGTGGTTGTTTCAGCACTGTACCTAGTGTGTGGTGACTGCTAGGTGGTGCGTGAGCTGGGAGTGATTCTCCAGGACTCGGGCTGCATGTGACTAGGGTTTCCTTCCCTAGGTGCCCTGTAAATACTGCCCATGGGGCTTGGGGTTACCTTTCACAAGTTCCTTGGGTTCTGCCTCTGCTAGGCCATTTACTTCTTGGTTTTCGGCCTCCCTTTGTGTGGCAGGGTGTTCTGTCTTCCTTGTTCACCTTAGAGTGATGGGCAGTTTTGCGCTGGTAGGGGCAGGAGGTACTGCGCAGCTTGTTTTCACCAATCATAGCGGCCGGCTCTGTTCCGCCTGGGTACGGTGTCCTCTTGCGGGGTTTTCGTTTTCTTTTTGTTTGTCTGCCTGGTGGGGGAGGGGTCTGCCTTGGTTCATGTCCCCTGTGTTCTGAGTACTCTTTTTTTCTTCCGGTGGTTCCCCCTGCTAGGTACCCATGAGTTTACGCATCTCAGGGGTTTAATTCTTAGAAGGTTGTTTGGTATACATGGGCGCCGATTAGCAGTACCCTGCCTGGGATTACCTGGGCATCAGTTACGTTAAACGCTCAGGACCCTGGGAATTCCCTTGGGGGGGTGCGTGGGTCCGACAGATGTGTCCCCGGAGTCCCCCCCCCCCCCCCCCTCGCTTCGTGCGAGTTTGAGGGTTGCTCGGTCCTCTTGACTCAGGGTGACCCTCACGGTTTTTGCCTCCGTCTGCTGCCTGTGGGATTGGTGGCACCTTCGACCCGGAGTCCTGCGAGTTTCGTTGCTTGTTTGTGACTTGGTTACCTGATCTTATGCTGACTAGGTGCAGGCAGCACGAGCGTTGCACGTTAAGTTCAGGTGGTGGCAACGCGCTAGGTTGTTTGTAGGCCCGGAAGGCCCGAGGCTGCCCCGCTTTTTATTGTTGTGACGGGGCTTGGGGGTATTGATTGCTTCGGTTTTGTTCCTTCCTCGCCCCCTTGTCTTTCCCCTATTGTGGTTCAGTCTGGTTCCCCCCCCCCCCTCCTTCCTCCCTGCATCCGGATCCGTGCCATCTGTGGGTTCAGGGTTGGGGCGGGGTTTTGATGGGCTTGAGACTCGAGCGGTCTCGGGGGTTTCCCCTTCCAGGGTAGCAACGGAGGCATTCGAGCCAGTTCCTTCAGCAGGGTTGTATGAATCTACCAGTGGGCTTTCTTGGTAAATTTCCGGTTGCCCCGGCCTTTTCTTTTGAGGCTCGGGCTTTGGGGGGACGGCTTGGCCCCGGGGCCTGCCATGGAGGTTCCCGGGGTTGGGGAGGGGCTGACTTAGGAGGCCTCGAGCCTTGTTGGACCCCGCCAGGGTTTTTCTACCCTCAGTGCGGGGCTTGTGTTTGCGGGGAGTGGGGTTTTTCCTTCCCCCCTCTGTATAGGAGTTGTTGGGCGTCGGCCCCTCCCCGGGTTTGGATCCTTGTTCCTTTGGGTCCGTTCAGTTCCGTCCTATCAGTGGGTACTTTTCTCCGTTTCTACCCCCTTTTCTCTGGGGCGGAACTAATCTGTCATTAAGGGGGGCATGTTCCCCTGTTATTGGGGTTTCTGCATTACTTTTGGTCTCTGGTGCGACTGTGCCTTTCTAAGCCTTCCTGATATTGTTTGCTTCTGTGAGATTTCGAGGATGCGGGAAGGTCTTCGATTCTTCCCGCATTATTGGAATGTCTGTCGTCTTCCAGTGAGGCTTACCACCGGTCCTTTTTGGACTCGTTGGTTCTCTTCCGGGCTTCCTGTCTTTTTTATACTGTCTCGTTCTTTTGTCATTATTTCTTCTCTCTGTGCTCTGTCAAGGCACTGCTAATATTTTGTGATTCTCCTTGTTGGCGCCCTCCCCGCTGGGCAGGGTTGTGCGGTTCGGACCTCATTTGTCCTACGCGTGCGCCCTGGGAGTTTTTGTTGTAGACGGTGTACACAAGTGCTGGTGTTCCACATCCTTTTTTTCTCTGGTGCTTCGCTTCTCGCTCCTCTCGTCTCTCCAGTCCCTGCCCCATAGATGCTGGGGGTGTTCTGGGTTGCTGCTATGGGGAGGATGCTGCGTTTTCATTGCAATTGGGTGTGGGGCGCCTCCTTCACCTCTACCCTACTATTCTCCTGCGGGTGCGGCTCTGGCCTTCTTCCTCTGGTGCTGCTCCCGGACTCCTATCGGCTACGTTGTCATGCAACATTCGTGCCTACATTTTGCAGGTGAGTTTATGCAGTCTGGCGTCTCTTTTGGCCAGGCCCTGGTTCGTGACTACGACTTGACGACCATAAGACCCAGGTGACTACAGAGGGCCTATTTGCCCATACGAGGCAGTTCTTATTTCTACCAATCCGGTCCCACTCATGTACATGATCATCACATGCTTGAGTCCATCAAGGGGCCCCTATCTTCGCCTTGTTTTGAGGTACAATGGTGACGGTAAATGTTATGGGGTAAATGTTACACTGGGTCAGGATGTTATGTGGTAACATTTTGCTGTGGCTTGATACTGGGGTTCTGTGTTGGGGTTTGGTTGTGGCATTTTGTTTGATCCCCACCGCTCGGTACACATTTTACTGTTGCGTTAAACAGAGGCTACGAATTGCTTCTTCCTGGAGTGCCTTCCTTGTTCGTCCTTGTTCGTTTGTGTTGTTTGTTACACGATGGGTTACGGCCCCGTTTTTCGTGGTCTTATCTGGGTCACTCTTTCCTTGCCCGTCTTGCAGTGCCTGGCTTAGCCCTTCCTTATACATTGGATTCTCTGTGCCCACCTAGTTGTCCTTACCTAGCTGTGCTTGGGGTTGAGCTTTAGCTCTTTGGTCCCGCTTCTTGGCTGTCGTTCGCCTGACATGGACATGGCCTCTGTGTTGTTGGTCCTGTCCCTTACGTTCCCGTTGCTGCCTATCTTCCTCGTTCCTCATCTTTCTCTTATGCTCATGTCCCTCGCTGCTGGTGCTGGGGTTGTTTTTCTACTCCATATAGCTTGTTCCTGTATCCGCTTCAGGTCGACTGCCCTGCGGGGTAGTTGGATTGTTTTGCGTGTCAGTTCCTCATACAGGGCTTGACGTCTGCGACGAGCCCTGTACAAATTAGTTTGCGTTTGTGTTGTGCTAAGTGTCAAGGGATTTAATAGATCTGATGTTACCTCGCCCCTCTCATTACACCTTGTTGTGTGCTTTTGTATGTGCGTCTTGACACCTGCTGCTGCCTTGCTGTTACCTTGCAGTGTTTCCCAGGGCTTGGTATCCCACGGCACGGTCGTCAACAGGGCCTCCTCATTACTGGTCTGGTCGCCCAGGATGTTTGACGCTGCTGTGTGCAGCCTGACATATTACTTACAGCCTGGTTGTTCAGGTATCCTTTGGGGGTGTTGATCCAATTCTCTCTTGGTCACTGTGAGGAGACGGTCTGTTTTCCCCTTCTGTCGTGGAGGCGTGTTGAACAGTCTCGGGCCTTTGATGTTGCTGGGGTTCTCTGAGTAGGGGGCTCGGTTGAACTTTGTCCATGTTCCATTCCCTGTTTTTGCACCGCCCCTGTGGTTTGACGATTCCCGACTTGCTAGGTTTGGGTTCCTGTTTTCCTGGCTTACCCTGCCACTCGGCATTTCTCGGATTTTGTGGTGTCACTTCTCACAAGTCTCGCATCGGGCCCACAGTGTCTCCAATCTCAACACGGGCTCGCTGGCATTGGGAAGTTCTGTACAGCAGATGTTCCTTC